TATGAAGGAGAATCAGTGACTCTTCACTGTCGACATGGAGACCAGAGAAAGGAGAAGAATGCTGACTTCTACAAAGACAAAACACTTATTGAGATGGACACAAACAATCAACACACACATGAAATCACCATTTCTCTGATGTCTGATGGGAGCTCTTACAAGTGCAGATTTAAGGACAAAGAATCTGAAATAGAATATTTGAAATGTGAGATTAGTTACTATGTTTAAAGACATTGTACCCAAACACCTGTTTAACACCTGAAGACAGATAAAAAGATGGAGGACATCAGCAGTGACAGTAATCCACCAAGGACTCATCATAACACGTCTTTATTCTGTCAAACCTCTTTCCAACAGATGTCCCTCAGTCTGTCCTCACAGTGTCTCCATCATGGACGAGTCCTGGAGACTCAGTGACTCTGACCTGCAGTGTTGGACTTCCGCCTGCAGGATGGAGGTTCTTCTGGTATAAGGCTGTTCCAGACATGTCACACTACTTCTCCTACTACACCCCTGAGCTTCTAGCTGGTGGCACCACTGGGACTGAACAGGATTCCTACATTCTTCATGGACAGACACACACAGCAGGATATAAGTGCAGAGCTAGAAGAGAAGATCCTGTGTCTTACACTCAGTATAGTGATGAGAAGTTTGTCTGGTCTGGAGGTGAGTTTGTTCAGACTTTTATATTCTTGAACAAGGGAATAAATGTCCTTTTTGTGTTGACATTGTTTGTCCTGTGTGTGTCTCCTAATGATGTGTCTTCAGGTGTGAATCCAGCAGCGTCTCTCACAGTGAGTCCTCACAGACTGCAGCACTTCAGCACAGAGTCACTGTCACTGATCTGTGAGGGAAACTCTACTGAGTGGAGAGTGAGGAAGGCTCATGAATATGGTGACGTGTCACCCTGTTCTTACTGGGGAGAAATGACTGGATCCACATGCAACACCGACACTACAGCGAGTAGTGGAGTGTACTGGTGTGAGTCTGTAACACAGTCCAGCAATGCAGCACACATCACTATACACAGTGAGTTTATATTCATTTAAAGGTTTTATATCTAAAGTATTTACACATCTTGTTACAGAGTGCTGAAATTGTTTAAGGTGACTTCATGATGAGTTTAACTCAATATTTATTTTAACAAACAATTCAACAATCTTAGTTTGTTGCAGTATCATTTCTCTGTATTATCCAACACGTCTTTGTGGTTTACTTTCCTCTTTATGACCATTGACATCCACCATTGACTTTAAACCAGGAGGAGCTGTAGAGTTATCTGCTCACTTTGTACCTTTTAGACCAGATGTGGGCAAACGTTTAGGCTCAGGGGCCACATTGACGTTATAGTTTGACAGACGGGTCGGGCAGCACCAGATGCAAACATATCAACCATTAACATAAAAGGCATTACAGTGTTGATACTCACATTGACTTTTAATGGGAACAGTGCAGTCGATCATCCTTCTTTGCCGCTGCATCAAAGTCTGCTGTTAGTTTTGTTGTCAATTCTCAGAACAGATGTGAGGTGTTCATCACTCACTGTGACCTGTGAGATGCTTTGTTGGTGTTCATCACTAAACGTCTGTTCACACACGTAGAGACAAACAACAGCAGCATCTTCTGTGCCGTCTGCTGCATGTTTGGAAACTGGGCTTCATTTCAATCCGGAGAGACTTGTTGAAATTTGAACAATGCTTTATTATAACAGGTATAATATGATATTGCAAGTTGTTTGGGGCTTGGACTCCATCCTGCCGCAGGATAGACCCGGGGCCGGGATCTCGAGCCGAGACGAGGCATATCCCCCCCCTTGGGAGTCCAGACACTGGTGGTGGTGGTGGTGGTAGAGCCCAAGTTGCATAACTCTCCTGCTATGCCAGGTTCTGCTGTAGATTGGAGGTGTCAGGGGTGGTGGCGGGTCACCTTTGTAGCAGCTGAAATGACAACTGACAGCACAAGAGAGGAGAACAGTTAACATTTGCCTGCCCCAATGCGATTGGTTTACGGTAACGACACCCACGTCTGATACTACCCGACCCCGCCCCTAATCATTTGGCCGTGCGCCCCCAGGGAGAGAGGAGGCCACCAGGGAGAGAGGAGGCCACCAGGGAACGGCACAGCCTGTCCAGTCTTCCTGACTGAATTTTCGCCTAAGCTTCATTTAATGAAACATAAAACTCACTCAGTGACGTGTTGATTTACTATACATGTTTAATGAAGTGCTGATATAATATAATGTAGTGATAATTAATAAATGTTAACTAGTGTGAGAGAAAGTTACACTGATGCTGTTTAATTAGCTGATCTTTGTTTAAAAGGATAAATTATTAGATAATATTGATTAATTCATATAATACAAAAGAAAGATAAGACAAAACATCCCATATTTTATCCCAATTGACAAATTCTGAGTTAATTAGTTGATTAATTATTTACAACTGAAATGGATCAAACACATCAGCAGAGTGTGGCGCCTCCTTCAGGTGAAATGTTCTCATTACTCAGTGAACCTTATATTATTTATTACAGGGAGACTGACTTTGACATCTTCTTCTGTCTGCGACTTTATGTTAAATTATAATTATGTAGGAATCATAAATCACTGATATCTTGAATCATTGTTCATTTAATGAAACTGATTTAGTAAAGTAAAGAAGTAACTGTTCCACAGACAGAGATGTGATCCTTTAACTCCTGCGTCCTCCTTGTATGAAGGAGAATCAGTGACTCTTCACTGTCGACATGGAGACCAGAGAAAGGAGAAGAATGCTGACTTCTACAAAGACAAAACACTTATTGAGATGGACACAAACCATCAACACACACATGAAATCACCATTTCTCTGATGTCTGATGGGAGCTCTTACAAGTGCAGATTTAAGGACAAAGAATCTGAAATAGAATATTTGAAATGTGAGATTAGTTACTATGTTTAAAGACATTGTACCCAAACACCTGTTTAACACATGAAGACAGATAAAAAGATGGAGGACATCAGCAGTGACAGTAATCCACCAAGGACTCATCATAACACGTCTTTATTCTGTCAAACCTCTTTCCAACAGATGTCCCTCGTCCTGTCCTCACAGTGTCTCCATCATGGACGAGTCCTGGAGACTCAGTGACTCTGACCTGCAGTGTTGAACCTCCGTCTGCAGGATGGAGGTTCTTCTGGTATAAGGCTGTTCCAGACATGTCATCCACAGACAACTACTACAACTTTGAGCTTCTAGCTGGTGGCACCAATGGGACTGAACAGGATTCCTACATTCTTCATGGACAGACACACACAGCAGGATATATGTGCAGAGCTGGAAGAGGAGATCCTGTGTTTTACACTCAGTATAGTGATGAGAAGTTTGTCTGGTCTGGAGGTGAGTTTGTTCAGACTTTTATATTCTTGCACAAGGGAATAAATGTCCTTTTTGTGTTGACATTGTTTGTCCTGTGTGTGTCTCCTAATGATGTGTCTTCAGGTGTGAATCCAGCAGCGTCTCTCACAGTGAGTCCTCACAGAATGCAGCACTTCAGCACAGAGTCACTGTCACTGATCTGTGAGGGAAACTCTACTAAGTGGAGAGTGAAGAAGGCTGATAAATATGGCTACGTGTCAACATGTTCTAAGTGGGGAGAAATGACTGGATCCACATGCAACACCGACACTACAGCGAGTAGTGGAGTGTACTGGTGTGAGTCTGAAACACAGTTCAGCAATGCAGCCAACATCACTCTACACAGTGAGTTTATATTCATTTAAAGGTTTTTATATCTAAAGTATTTACACATCTTATTACAGAGTGCTGACATTTTTACGGTGACTTTATGATGAGTTTAACTCAATATTTATTTTAACCAACAATTCAACAATCTAAGTTTGTTGCAGTATATTTTCTCTGTATTATCCAACACGTCTTTGTGGTTTACTTTCCTCTTAATGACCATTGACATCCACCATTGACTTTAAACCAGGAGGAGCTGTAGAGTTATCTGCTCACTTTGTACCTTTTAGACCATTCTGTAGCTCACTGCCACTAAGTGGACATTTGTCTCCCGACATATTGAGCATTAATTAAAGATGTAACTGTGAGCATGTACGTCACCAAAGGGCCGTCTCTTCCATCCATGAAATGCAGCTATTCGCTCAGCTACTGTGTGAATGTGAATAACAAATGTAAACTATAAATGTCTCCTCGTTGTTCATCAGCTTGTTTGACTTCCTGTCCTCTGGTCTCTTTACAGGTGGTGATGTCATCCTGGTGAGTCCTGTCCGTCCTGTGACTGAGGGACATTCCGTCACTCTTGGCTGCAAGTTGAGGACAGAAAACCTTCTTTATAATGTGGATTTCTATAAAAATGACAAACTCATCCCAAATCCTGTCAGAGGGGAGCTGCTTATCTCTGCAGTTACTAAGTCAGATGAAGGCTTTTATAAATGTAGAGGAAGGAAATCACCTCAAGGTTTGGAGACTTTGACCTCAGCAGAGAGCTGGTTGTCAGTGAAATGTGAGTACGAGTTTTGTAACATGTGTTACAGTCTGAGTGAGAAAAGGTGTCACTGAATTAGAAGTTATCTTAAGATAAACTATTTGTTTGTGTGAGACAATATAGTTTTAAAGATGTTCATGTTCAGTAAAAACACATAATATTAGAGATGTAACATGACCAGCAGTGAAAGGTGAATGTTGTGCGATCAAGGGTTCATGTTTGTGTATTTGAGTGTGTGTGTTGTAGTACTTGTTTAGTACTACAACACATTAGTACCTGTGTTTTTACTAGTTTTACTTTGTTTTAAGTATGTTTTTCTGGCTCTGTGACACTCTGAGATCTGTTGATGAAGAGTGTGTTATAAATAAACTGTATTATTATTGTTACTTGTGTATCTCTTCATGGTTGGTGTGTACTTGTGTGTAGATCCTGAAGAAGCAGCATCAAGCTCTGTGTTTCTCGTGCCGTTGGTTGTTGGTCTGGTTTCTGGAGTTTTACTGATTATTCTCCTGCTGCTGTTTCTGCGTCGCTACAGAAAGTCAGAAGGTGAGATCTTTTCCTTCTGATATCAGACTGATTTCACTGAAATAAGTCAAAGTCACAGATATTATTACACACACTAATTAATGATCAATGTGAAACCTTTTTCTTGCAGCTTCAAGCCTCAGCAGGTTGGTACAAGCCTCTCTTCTCTCACTCTGAACATGGCAGCAGGACTTTACATGTTCCTCATTAAATCCTCTGTATTTACTTCATGTTTTGGACCCACAAGGTCTCAGAGGACCAATCAGAGCGCAGCTACAGACCACATGATCAACCAGGATGAAACTAAAGACGGACATTACGCTTCTCTTCTTCATGGTCAGCTTTAATCCTGATTTATTTAATAATGTCTTCTTAACTTTAATGCTAACATTTCCATTTCTGGTCATCTGTTTGAGAAGATTCTATAATTGATACAAAGTGGTTCAAATGATTGATACGACCTCGTCTTTATCCTCACTGCTCTGCAGGTGATTCTTGTCTCTATGAAGCAATCGGAGGCTCTGAAGAACCTGAACATGGTGCAGTAAATCCTGTGTGTTCATCACACAGCTGTTAAAATACTAGAATCAGATGATCAAGTGACTGGTTGACCTTTAAATTAAAGACAAAGTGTATCGATGATGTCACAGATTCTGTGTTTGAGCTTAAAGACATTGATGGTTAATGTGAATACTTCTATAAGGGAACAAGCTGCAGCAGTTGAGATGCTTTTGTAGGCCAGCAGAGCTTTAATAAAAGAGAATAAAGTGTCTCTTCATGCATTCATCTGATCCTTCTAACAGGGACGAATGATGAACCAGAGGAGAGCGTTTATGAAAATGTGAGGATGGAAACAGCTGCAGGTACTTCAAGTACAACAGACCATGTAGTACAATCTGAGTGTACTTGTGTATTACTACCAGCAGTCAGCAAAGGTCAAACACAACACTTACACCTGTTGCTCTTAAATAACCTTTAATCTCTTTTCCTTCTTTTATCAGATGGATAAAAACATCTGCATGGACAGAGCCAGGGGAACAGATGCAACATATCATGTTCTAATGATGTGTAAATATTGTACATATCAATTTTTTCTCCTCAGTCACTCTGTTTTTTAATGCTTTTTTTTTAAATTGGGGCCTGTTTGAAATCTTCAGTACGTTGTTGATATTATTCAATATGAAGTCATCTGCTCTTTTATTTCTGATAAAAAAATCTTTTAGCATTTATTAATCTTTTATTGGACAACATATTTCTCCAACATTTGAGTTTATCTTTATCTTTTTAAGAGTTTTGACAGGTTCTGTTTGTATTTCATCTTCACCTGTTTGTGTTTAATACATTTTTTATGTTTATTCTTTGTATGCATCAATAAACTTGCAGCTCTAAGCAGTGTTTCCTCCAGTCATTTCTTTAATTAAATAAATATTAGATTACAGGGAACGTATGTCCACATGCTCACCTGCATCAAGTTAGTAAGATTCATCAAATTAAAATGTGTCTGAGCAATAGTTAAATAATCACTACAGTTAAGTGTCTTAAAGCTGAATTCTTTAATGTGAGTGGTGGGACCTTAGGATCTGGGAGCCTCAGCATAGAGCGGGAGGCTTAATCTCAAGGAGAGCCTCTCCATATAAAGGAGATCCCGTGAGAGTTGAGCAACTCACGTTTGTTCTCGTTGTCCCGCATGTGCTGAAGTCTGGGTTGCTTTGTTTCTTGCTCGCCAGTACCGTGTGGGTGAGCAAACTATACTAAGGAGGTAGGTTGTGCAATTTTAATCTACGTCCTTTAGGCCATGGGGAAATTAATATAATGTTCTTTTCTATGGTAGAGGGTCAGACCTGAACCAGACCTGGTGAGCCCAGGGTCCTACCTGCTGGTGCACAGGTGCATTGGGCCAAGGAGGTAGCAAGTTGGGCTTGCAAGCACATTGTGCGTTTTGTAATGAGAAGGATGATGGGTACTCGGTGATTAATGGCTGTTTTGTACATTGCAGGCTGAACTGGTGACACGGAGTGGTCAGCAGGGCAGCCACTGCTCTTTTTCTCCGACCATAGTTTTAGTTTAGATTATGCTCTAGTGCCTCCATCTTGCTCCCTCGATTTATAGAAATAACAAACTGATATTGTGCCTTTTTGATGACCGTTGCTTCCCACTTCTATTGTGTTGTGTCTTTTAACCAGGATCAGTAATCGTATTTGTGTGTGTTGGTTATTTTAGCCTTCCTTAACAGTGTGCAGTGTTTTTATGGTTGGAAGTGTCATTGTGCCCCCGATCAATCACTACTGGTATAAATTATTTGGATGTCGTTTTATAAAGTTGTTGTTTAAATAAAAGTGATATTGCACTGTACATGCAGAAGCCTCTGTCTGTCTATGATCTACCTTGTATGGGTTTTTTGGCCAGTAAGATAATTGAATTCAGGGTCTCTCCCCCCCAAAGAGAGTGGCGTTGTCACGTCTGGATACTATTCCCAAAGTATGCTAAGTGTCCATTTGGTCACATTAACATTAAATTCTTTAATTGTTTTATCTAATTAAACAGGAATAGATCACAGCAATGTAAATACAATATCACTTCCTTCTTAAAGGAAATGGTGATCCAGGTGTGTGAGTAAGATGTAACCGCTATAGACGCACCCTTGTTTTAATTCTAAAGGCATTTTAAATATTTGTATGTGCGTGTTTTTGATTCCATCTGCATCAGTGATTCTCTCACCTGTGATGTGCATTCATGCAGCCTGATTCCTCTTCTTCCTGAGGAGACCTGAAGAAGTTTCATCTGTCCCCTCAGATCCTGGTGAACTTCTACCGCTGCACCATCGAGAGCATCCTCACCAACTGCATCACACTGGTACGACAGTTGCTCTGCTGCGGACCAGAAATCAGGGTTAACAGGCTTAAAACTGCTCATCACTGCTTCCTCACTCCCACCATCCAGACTGTCCAGCACATAAGATGTGTGCGGAGGGCGCGCAGCATCGTGAAGGACAACTCTCACCGCAGTCTCAGACAGTTTGCCCTCCTCCCCTCTGGGAGGCGCTGCAGGTTCCTCTGTTCCCGGACCAGCAGGTTCAGGAACAGCTTCTTCCCTGCCGCTGTCACCCTGCTGAACTCTGCACCACGTGACAGATCCATGTCTCCTCTTGTCCCCCCCTCATTCTTTTCTCTATAACAGCGGTTCCCAAACTCAAGAATGCCGCGGCCCACTTTGAAATCTGGAAATCTTTCGCGGCCCACCCAAACCTTTAATCACAACTCTGATCAAAACATAATGATTAAATGACCTTAAGAATTTAATAGATATCAAACATCCGCGAGCAAAAGTCTGTCTCCGCAAGTATTTGCTCGCTTGCGAAACGAGAACTTCGTTGCTCGCGAGGAGAATCTCTGCTCGAGCTCGGAGTTTTCTACGCGCTCACTGTTGTTCTTTTTGACAGTAAGGTGGAGATGGTGCTTTCAGGGTCCGATCGATGCCGCGAGGTGTGTTGTTTGTTTTATTAATCTGTTCGTTTAAATTGTTTGTGCTTCATCAACTAATGTTTCACATAACTAATGTGCCACATCATAAATATTTTCATATTAATTTCAAACTTTAAAAAAACTTATTTATTGTAAATGACCTCTCGCGGCCCACCTGCAGTACCTTCGCGGCCCACGAGGGGGCTGTGGCCCACACTTTGGGAACCGCTGCTCTCTAACAATCGACGGCTCTGAAGAACTGGAACATGTTGTAATACATCCTGTGTGTTCATCACAGAACTGAAATACTAGAATCAGATGATATAAATTCAGTGCAGGGACACAATGAACCAGACGAGAGCCTTGTTTACTCCATGTGAGTTCTGTCTCCATCCAAAACAAACACCTTTTAAAAGTTAGAAAATGGTAGTTTGTTGTTTTTAAAATAATCTGAAATAACGTCTAGTCCTACTTTAACTATGATTCTAACTTGTTTTGCTTAATGTTACACTCCATCTTATTTTGTGTTTTTTGTTTTACAATTATTTTCTTTTTACAACATCAGTACATTATTGTTTTTAACTTGACTTTGACTTTAACTATTTAACTAACACTACTGGAAAACGTAAGAAAATGAAATATTTTTATCCTTCATTGAATCCAGAGAGGTAGAGTCGAAAAAAAATCTGGTCTGTGTTCCTCGTACGTGGTTCAACTAAATCGATCAAATGTCCGATTATCCAGCTCAAATTACCGAGATGATTGACAGCAGACTATCTCGGTTCCTCGAAGGCGGATCGTGCGCGTCTTACGTTAGAAGGCGGAGGAGTCGATCACCGAAACCAGGATTTTTTAACAGTATAAAGGCGAACAAACATTTCTCCGCTGACGAGCAGGAAATGACCATCAACGCATATGAGGACATACTATGTGAATTTGAATAATTTCTGTCGGATTAATTGAACGTATTATAAATCTTCTGTACGTCCATCGCAGTCTCTCTGTCCCAGGAAGGATCGTCCTCTGTCTCTCTAAATGTTTCTTCCTCAATCAAATTTTCATTGTTTGGGGAGTTTTTTCTGTGCCGATGTGAGGGTTTCTGGACAGAGGATGTCACATGTGTACAGACTGTCAAGAGATTTGCCATATGTGCGATATAAAATTAAATGAATCATATAATCATGGCAAAAACTGACAGCGCCCCCCTGCGGGGCTACAAGACCAACAAAGTTTTGCGTGTTGGTCAAATGTAACGGCTCATTTAAGTGCCTCGTCCCTCTAATCAATCAGATTATATTTCTTTAAATGTGCCTGCTGGCAGGAGGCTTCATGGATGATCATTATCCAATGAGAATAATGATCTCAACTCTTTCAGAATATGTAAATGAAAACAAGCCCAAAGAATCGAATTGATACGAATGAAAAGGATATATGTCCTGTATCATATGTATGTGTAGATGACTATATAGAACTAGTTTTATTATGTGTGTTAATGTGTATGGGAGAATAATTATATATCCATTGTTCATAATCAGACACTTGATCATTTGAAGCAGTGAAATGTGGAACATCAGAAGTTTATTAAGCGACAAATAAACCAACAGGACTTTACAAAGAGCACTACATCCAGTGGCTTTCCAGATGTTCTCTGCATCGCAACACCACAGACAGGACAGTGTGTCAGACAGCCAGCGTGGTTACATGGATTCGGCTTAGTCGGATTGAAATTGAATTATCCGTTTCATATAAACACCTTTGTCCGACTACGATCCGACTAACACCCCATATCCGCTTCACCGCTTTACCACTACCAACAACAACAACAACATCAACATAACGAGAAAGATGGCGAACGGAGAGCAAGGTGAAGCTACATCCCTCATGTGTGCATGATGTTAATAGGAGCACAGCGGATGCGAATGGCGCTATTGGCTGATTTGATAACGGAGAGAAGACGCCGTCAGGATCTCAAGCATGCGCAAAGACGGGGTAATAATTAGATAGTGTGTATGAAGCTAAAATAACATGTTATGTGTCGTAGAATGTCAGCTTTGATGCAACAGTGGGTTAAAAAT